ATAACTAGCCATGTTTAGCAAAAAATAACCCTTTTTGACCCCTACTAACCGTGAATTACACAAATATACCCATTTTTCATCATTTTGTCACTTTTGGCCCTCTTATGTAATTTTCTTGGTTTTAAGTAACTTGTATGTATTTTAAAACCATTTCTTGGTAAGATAAGTTGAAATGAGTGTTATGTTCTAAAACTATCATCATCATTTAGTAGTTCTTTAAGTTCATTGAGTTTAAAACACATAATCTATTTGAAATGAATGGTTGCTTAGTGTTAATGTGCACCCTACGTAAACGTCTTTGGTTGATTCGGTTTTCCCATTAGCCATATCTACCATGAAGGCTTCGTTGATCTTCTAGGGTTGTTGATTTAGTAAGTGTTTCAATTTGTTACTAACGAAGCTTCACTCGGCTCCGCTATCGAATAAAATGCATGCATAAGTGTTGTTAAGTGGGAACGTACCCATAACAACCGACGGGTCCTGAAGTGCTTCACCTTGTCCCAACGTCAATACCCTTCCTGATCCTCCTAGGTTCTAGATATGAAGTTATTTATCTACATACTGACCCAAACCCGAAGGTAACTTAGAAATGTCTCAAAAACGACAAGATCCAAGCCTTAAAAAGGATCTAACAAATGGAAAGTCAAGGTTGAAGCTTTTTACCTCAAATAATCTGGAAATGGAACACAACCTCTTGATCTACTAGCTTCAACTCGAACTCCCAAGATCCTTCTTCCTTTTCAAGCTTCACAATCACCAAAAATGCACAAAAATGGCTCAAGAATCAATCAAACGAGGCTACGGTTTCGATTTAGGGTTTCTATGAGTCGGGAGGGTCAATGGGGCTGGTTTGAGGCACAATAAGTCATTTAAATATGGTGCAAACCCTACATATTAGCGTTTCATCCAGACAGCTTCTACTCGTCGAGTCGGTCCCCCGACTCGTCAAGTAGATCACTAAACTTCCCACTCAAAAATCGAGTCTACTCGACGAGTTGGGCCTCCAACTCACTGAGTCCCAGAGCAAAACATGAAATTAATTAAATTTAAATATGTACTAGGAACCGGGTGTTACACTTACGAGTAGCAAGGAGGTCACAACCCCTAGGGTTTAGTTGGGAGTTAGTTCCCTGTTATTTGTGCAGGTTATTTGATATCTTCCTTGTGTATTTTAAGTATTATGGTTACGAGACGATTTTTGACGGGATCCAAATGTGGATTAGGGCAGGGCGGTCAGGATACCCAGAAAGCGCCCGAGACTACTGGCCAGGGTGTGCCAGTGTTGACAGAGGATCGTGTCAGGGAGATCATCAGTGAGGAGGTGGTCAAGATTGTCTGGGGTTAGATTCTGGAGATGTTCTGGTCTATTAAGACTACCATGATGGAGTATTTTGATGAAAGATATGCAGCTCGTGCAGAGATGGCTTCCACAACAGCTGTAACAGCGGTTAGGGGGAGCTAGTCGGGCTTTTCAGTACCGGGAATTCGATAACACGAAGCCCTCAACGTTTGATGGGAATTAGGATCCGATCATAGCCAGGAGGTGGTTGTCTGACGTGGTGTTAGGTCAATATGGACTGTTGACCTTGACCGTTGACTTTGACTTTGACTTTGACCAAGGCTTGACTAGCTTGACTTCAAGGGGTATTTTAGTAAATTGGGAATTTATGGAAGTGGTCCTATGGTGAATATAGGTGGTGGAGTTTGTGGTTGTGATTTGAGAGTTTGATCTTATCACTATAGTTCAACACTTGTGAGCTAAGTTTTCCTCACTATACTCAAGGGTCTAAGGCACCAAGTCCGACCCTTTTTGGATTGTTGTCATGATATATTATATGCTCGAGTATTGTATGATCTTTTAGATTGGTATCCTGGTAGGATGTTATTATGCTATTATGATATGTTAGATCAGTATCATGGTAGATAGGATGTTATTATCCTATTATGATATGTTAGATCGGTATCCTGGTAGATAGGATGTTATCATGCTGTTATGATCTATTAGATCGGTTTGTCTGTCTGTAGATTGTTATGTGATTATCAGATATATGTGCACATGTTTGACTAGTGGTTTAGGCTTATATGCTTTGTGTGAGAGCCAACAAACCTGGGCATTCCTACCCGATGGTTGTGGGCTGTGAGTATTCTATCCCGAGGATGATTGGACTTGTAGTATGTGGACATTCCAACCCGATGGTTGTGGGTAGAGGGTATTCCATCCCGAGGATGACTTGATCCATAATATGTTGGCATTCCAACCTGATGGTTAAGGGCCTTGGGTATTCCAACCCGATGGTTGATTGGACCCATAATATGCTGTTTTTGATTATATGTATATTGTTGTGTGTATGGGTATTTTGGTAAACTCACTAAGCTTGAGATTTACCGTTTTGGATTTTGTTTCAGGTACTTCAGATGATCGCGGGAAGGCAATGGTGTGATCGTACACCTCCTGATGTTTTTATGATCTAGATTTCTGGGATACTCTGATGTTTAAAATATTTTGAAAACACTTTGTAATAACTTAATGGTTTCGAATGGTTGATTTTTTTTTTAAATTGCCTTGATTTTTATGGGTGTTACATTGCTTTGCATCATGGTCGACACTATGGTTCCAGAATTGCAAAGGTTCTATGAGGACAACTGGCCCTACAAGATGAACTTGGATCTTGTGGAAAAGGTTTCACAAGAGATCTTGTTAAGAAAAGTATGAGGTTGTCAAAGCTCTTATGGCTTGCAAACTGAAGGAATGAGAGTAGGTTTACAACCACGTGCAAAGAATGCAAAGGTATGTGGAGTGCATTGAAAGGCTAAATGTGAATTTCAACAAGGAGTTAGTCATTTATTGTTACAACTTACCTCATGTTATTCAGTCGAGCATGGGTAAAAAGCAACCAACAAGCAGTAAGAAAAGCGCATCACCTTCAAAAAATTCATCTAAGGTATATATCATGATTATAGGGTTTCTTCAAAGAGTCTTAATTTACCAATCTTCAAATATATTTTTGTTTATGCAAAAGTAGAAAACTAAAAGTACTTCTGAAGATGATGACAAGAAGAATTCTTACACAGATGAATATGAATAGGACGCAGAGGAAAAAGATAATGAAGAACATCAAAAGACAAACGGTAATCTAGACAAGTCTAAAGATGAGAAATCTGAAGATAATACTACCAGTGAAGAAGAACACGTGTCTGGACTAGATTCTGAATAGGAAAACAAGAAACACAAACGAAGTTCAAAGAAATATTCTTCTTATTAAAAAGGAATCTAAATCATCTTCAAAAAAGACCACCACTACCCTTACCCCAACTCAAAATAAAACTCCGACTAAATCATCTACAAGTGGTTCAAAAGCTAAGGAAAAAGAACAAACTAATTTAGGTCCAAAGACTTTCTCAAGGAAGAAGAAGAAAGATGTAGTTGAAGTGAAGGCTGTTTCCCCGAAGAAATTTTCCCCTAAAGAGAAAACTGGTAAAAACTTGTTTTAATATTTTTTATTAGTATTAGAAAAAAAAATGAAAAAAAATTGTCCCTGTGGTTTGTCATTTTTTGTAGATATGGTCCAAACCTTTTGAAAATTGGATTTTTGGTCCTTATTGAGAGGTTTGTGTGTGGAACAGGTCGTTGTAGTTAACCACAATTTGTTTTCGGTTGTTAAACCCATCACATGCATTGCACACGAGGGCATAAGTGTCGTTTTACTTGAGGGGCCATTTTTTCAATTCCTAAACTAATATATGGAGACTTCCCCAATGTTTAAGTTGTTCTTCTTTCTCTCTTCTCTCTTTCTTATCGATCCTCTTGCCAGTTAATCATACAATGGTTCTCGGTTTTTGAGGTAAGTTTGTTGTTGTTAAATGCTCTTGGACACCAAAGAACCCTGGCAGATGTTTCTATGCTTGCCCTTAAAAGGTAAATAAATCCACTTACACCCATTTAATTTGAGATGGCTTCTTAACTAATAACATTTTCCCCCTTTTTGAAGGATTATGCTTTCTCTTCATCGGATGGGTTGATCCGCCCATGTGTGAAAGGTCTAAAGTTATTATACCTGGACTACTGAGAAATATGAATTGGATGCAAGCTTGGTGCACAACTCTAAGGATTCTCTTGTTGGCTAGTTGGGTGTTTTTTGTGATTTTGTTTATATAGTTTGTTTAGGTTTTGGTATTAGGGCTATGGGCTGGGTTTTTTTGTTGAAGATTGATAAAAGTGTGGTTTTTGGGTGGATTAATGGTTTTAGGCACTTTGACCTATGTTCTTTGTAGTTATTTGTATGGTCAAAGTAACTTTTTATGTATCAATTGGCTTCTTGATATAAATGTGAATTTTATGGAGTTGTTTTACAAGAAAGGTTAATGTGAATAATTAACTGTAATTGCATAATAGATAGCAATAACCAAAAACCAAAATAACTAAGGCTGCAATTACATAATAGACTACAAACACATCAACCAAAGTGTCAACAATATCGTGCAATTACGTTATCCGAAAATATGGAAACCTATGTATGTTCTAATACTTATCATACTAATGAAAACCAAAATAACCATAAGTCATAAGTTTTATAACATCAAAACATTGCCAAAAGTAGAAAATAACATCTGCCAAAAGAAACACAACCCTGATTCCACCTAGTTCGGTAACCCACCTTTATCCACCTCATTGACCTTTGCATGTCCTTGAGTTTTGACCTTTGTTTTTGCATTTTACACATGTTACACTAACATATTTCCTTGTTAAATTTTGAACTCCATCATGAAAAACTTTACAACCTTCTTCCTGACTTACACCATGAGTACCATTCTGACTTTGACTCCCCCTTTGACTCCGATTCAATTTTTCATCCTCAATTTTCTTCATCTTCTTCGTAGGCCTACCTGGTTGCTTATGATGTATTGGAGGGATATGTGTGGTTGGAAAAAAAATTAGGCCACATTATTCTTCCTTTTATGGGCTTTACCTTATAGGAATATGCATTCTTCCATGTATCCAACTAGTATACCTTATTGACCCACATATAAATGTCACCAACACCCTCTGAGTTCTTGGTCATTTCATAAAGGGTTGCAATGACATATTTACAGGGGATGCCTATTAGCTCTAACTTACTACAAGTATATGTGTTGTTCCTAACATCTATAACATGTTGATCTTGCCATGCCTCAGTCACTTGGTATTTCTCACCCCCATTCCACCTAGCAATGTAATGTGATGCATGAGACTTGTTTACATCCAATATGGTTGTTGCAGTGGGTGTTAAAGGACCTTTTACCTTTTCCATCACCTTCATAACATTATAGATTCTCTTCATCAAGTATTTTATGATATACTCTAAACAACCTATGATAGGATTATCCATTCCCTCTATTACCTTGCTGTTAAATACCTCACAAATGTTATTTAACAATATATCAGAGATTGCTCTTCCTGTCATAAAGAACAATATAATGTTTTAAGTACAAGTCCACATTTAATGTATAGTAATTTATGGTAAGTTATGTACCTGTGAAATGGCTTCTTGCCTAGTGTTTTGGAGGAATCTTTCTAATCCATTCACATGCCTCCCTGTCATAGTTGCTAAATTCTCTCATGCAATGTTCAAATTCAGGTATAATGGTTGCGGTTTCACATTTCCATAAATGATCCTTGTACTCTTTCAATTTCTATTTCACCCTCATGTTCTGATGTATGTGCCTGAGACAATACATGTGCTCAACACATGGGAACAGTTAGGCTATTACTACTATTAAACCCTAAAACAATAACAATAATTAAGTATTTAGTTTATATAATTATAATTAATAAATAAAAAAACGTTAGAAAAAGATACCTTTTGTCGATCTATTATAAAAGTAAAGTTTAAGTTTGAACCAAGATCCAAGTCTTCTCCTAAACACTACAAGAACCATATTCAACTACTTTTGTTCTCTATCTCAACAATGACATAAGCAAAGGGGTAATTTCCGTTGTTAGAGTCTAACCCAACTGCTGTTAGAACCTACCCAGGAAAAATCCTTTCATGTTTGCACCAATGAAAATCAAAAGATCCTTGAGGCCAGCCTTAAAATCATTTTTCAAAGGACCTAAGAAAATGTAGATTCCTTTAAACCTTGTAGTTGGGTTTGATGGGTTATGCTCACTGTAGACATCAATCTTGACAGTTATGTCAACATTGGTTGCTTGCAATTCAAGAACATAGTCCTTCAAGATCTCATACTCTTTCGTATAGTCACCTTAAATAATCCTAGTTGCAATAGCCTTAGCCCTGAATACTTTGTCAATAGAAACACCATCCTTGAGGTCCTTTTGACGTTCTTCCTGCAATGATCGAAGAGGAATCCCTGGATTCATGTCAATTTGGTCCATGATTCGCTTGGACATAAAAGTAGCAGTGCAAGCTCTAGTCTTCATGCTTTGAAGGCAAGTATGGTTGTAATTTAATGTCCTTACAAACCAGTGAGATTCTGTGTTTAACCTAGAAGCATGAAGGAACCAGCTATAGTTTATTTTTTTTCTAAATTTACCTCTTTGCCCTTGCTTTTACTTTTGATATTAAGGCCCGCCACCCCACTTACATTCATGACTGGGACTACTCCTTTACACAATGCTCGAAATCTAAGTTTGTCATTTTTTTATAATACAAATTCCTCCTAGTTTCTAATGCGTGCATGTCAAAATTTTCTTTCAAATCTTTTTTTGATTTAAACTTTTGCCCAACCTAAAAAACTGACCTTATAGACATTGCCAGGACTGCATATTTTCTCCTTAGCCAAATTCTTAAGAACACATCTTCTTTTCCTCTCATCATTTGAACCTTCATCCAAAAAATCCCATCTATCATTTTCAATGACTTCTATGTCCTCGTGTTCATCATTTGTCCCAACCCCATTATGAAACCCATCCATTTGAACAAAACCATTATCCCTATCAAAATTGAGGTTGAAGTCAGTCATATCCAACTCCACTTCTGATACATTTTTTCCATCAATAATAAGTTCATCGTACTATTCTTTTGATTGTTGCCTAAGATCATCACTGTCAGTAGACTTTTCATGTTTAGACTAGTGGTCTTCAACATTATCATCTTCTGGTGGTTGATAATGATCTCCATAAAAAGGATCAAAGTGATCATGATCAAAGTTTTCATAATGAAAGTCATCATAATCAAAGTTAGCATGTTCACCATCTTGATCTTGTACCACATCATCCATGTTAGCATGCTCACCACCTTGATCTTGTACCACATCATCTAAGTTAGGATTCTCACCACCCTGATATTGTACTACATCATCCAATTTATCATGATCACCACCTTGATCTTCTACCACCTCATCCAATATAACTAAACTAAGCTTCTTGGCACACGAACTTTGACCAATTGTTGACTTCACCCTTCTATTTATTCTATACTTTGGTGAAACTTGCGGAGGGACTCTGTCAAAGAGTATCAAGGACATATACCCTTAAAAATATGTTTGATCATTAGCTTCATCTATTATTGGGGTTTTATCCTTTGCTGGTACTTGAGGTATGTTTGTTTCTTTTGGAAGATCACCATCACATAACTCCCAAATAATAACTTTTTGCTTTCCTTTAGGAGACATAAAATAGTTCAACAAATTAGTTTGTCCATGTTCTATATACACTTTAATGAGCTTTTTATATCCAATATATTGATCCAAATTTAAGACATCATTATCATTCCCTAAAGCTCTAAGACTAAAATCCAAGTGTTCATGAGGAATCCTAAAATGGTAATATATTACTGGGGGTACGGAGTAACCTAGCTCTAGCATCATTGCATCTAGTTCATGAACTGAGAACTCATCGATGTCTACTAAATCAATATATCGCACTTTACCTTTAACATATTTCGTGTTTGGAAGCTTGGTAAAATTTCCACCATGGTGTAGCTTTATGGTGAACATTGTTGGTACACACTCTACAAGATACAAAAACTTAAATAAAAAATTGTCAGATTTTTGTTTTTTTGACTCTGTTCATCAGATCATCAGGAAACCCAAGAAAATTTCATAAACAGAGGATAAGTGAAACTAACCATATTCATTTGTGATGTCATATATCTTGCCTTTGGCCTAATCACCCACATTACGAACACCATTTGCAACTGAAACGCAATAACAAGTAAACACCTTGGACCAAATCTTGATTAGGGTTTTTGCGTTCAAAATGAATAACGAAGAAGATGGAAGTGGAAGAGGTAACTAAAATATTTTTTGTATAATAAGGCATTAATACGGTCCTGGGTTTACTTCAGGAATTGCAAAAATGGTTGCTCGAGTAAAAAGACATTTATGCCCACGTGTGCAATGCACGTCAGGGGTTTAACAAAAAAAACAAATGGTGGTTAACTCTAGGGACCTATTCCACACACAAACCTCTCAATGAGGACCAAAAATATAATTTTCAAAATGTTTGGACCATATCCACAAAAAATGACAAACCACAGGGACCATTTTTGTATTTTTGTCTTAATATTACCATAGTTTTAAGACAATAGATACAGATGCTTTTTTTTACGTTTTTCTCTGCCTATTTAACAAAGTGAAAAAGGCTACGAAAGAGAAGGAGAAACCTAAAACTGAAAATAAGATAACTGATGACGAACTCAGAACTGTAATATGCAAGATCCTTAAAGAAGTCGACTTCAATACCATGAGTATCTTTTTTTTTGGAAAGGGAACTTCCATAATGAGGGTTTCTAGGTCAGCTTCCACACACCGACTAATCCCCCGCTACAAACATGAAGCTTTGCCTCATGCTCTGGAGTCACTGCAGGCAAACCTCCATGACCACAAGGGCTGAGTGGTTCCAATATTTGAACACGGGTCAATAGGTTATCCACCATTTTTACCACATGCCTTACCAAGTCACCACAACCCAAGTAGTTACCATGAGTATCTGTTGCCAATAAATAATTTATAAATTTTGAAATAAAACATGATTTTTTCAAATAAATAATGATTTCTTTTTCTTTTTATTTACATGCAACATTTACCGATATTCTCAAGCAGCTTGGTTAGCATTCCATTATGTTGTTGATTCCATTTTGATATGGGCATATTTAGTTATAAAATTCATGCATTATTTTAATACTTTATGTTGTTTTTGTCTCATTTAATGAACAAAAGGTGCTTAATTAGTTTATAATTTTATTTTTCAGCAACAATGACATGCTCGGATGGAAAAGGAAGCAGAACTAGCGATTGGAAGCTTGGATCTTGGATTTTGAAGAAAGAAGGATGTTGCTGGACAGCTTGAACCCTCGTCATTGTTTTAGCCATATCTCATGAACCGTAACTCCGATTGACGAGATTCAAAATGTTCTAAAAACTAGACACAATTTCGGACAACTTTCATGTTTTGAGAAAATGCTAATTCCAAATGGACTCGGCGAGTAGGCCATCAACTCGCCGAGTTGGTCAGAAGTTTCGCGATTCTTGACTTTGCCTTGCCGTGCACGGGATTTTAAGTGATGGACTCGCCGAGTAGGTCACTGGACTCGCCGAGTAGCCCTTGTTTTCATAAAATATATATAGAAACGCTTCTCATTCGGACCCTAACGAATGGGGGAAGTTTAGGACGATTTTTGGAGGCCAGAAGGGTTCTTAGAAGTTGTGGTTTTCGAGATTTCAACCTAGATATCAACTTGGAAGATCAAAGGCAATAATACACTACTTTTATCTTAATCTTTTTCATAAACCATGTTTCAATCATTATATTATGTTTTTAGTTTGTTATTTGCTGTAGATATGAGCTAAAAACTCATAATTTCTGTTTAGGATAGATGATTTTGTGATTATGGTTTGATTTTATGGTAGGATTGATTTAATATTGGTGATTTTGTTGATTTTAGCTTGTTAAAAAACCTTATGTATGGTTGAAAACTATTTTTCTATTATTAGGAAGTTAATTAAGTTGAATGAACATCTCTTAATTGCTACCTCATATAATTTATGTGACCACTTTGTTCTATGACTAGGATTAATGACTGTGAAACTAGAATTAGTAGAAATATAGGTAAAATCATGTGTGAGCTTGTGTGATGACCATCAACAAGAGGTTAACTAAAGGACCAAATTAGTTAACCATTACAAGTCTAAATTAACCCGAATAAATAACCTAGTTAATTGAATTAAATTAGACAAACGACCACTGTTTGAATTAGTTTGATCTCTAAGGATTAGTGCAACGAACGTGAATCTAATCACTTGAATCGATAGCCAATAGAATAATTAATCCATTGCATTATTACCATAATATCAACCATAGGATCAATTGAGTTGAACTAAACATAAGTTCCCTTCGTTATTGAATTTAGTTTAATCTTTGCCTATCTAGTTTTTAGTTAAGTAGTCTAAGTATTAGTTGGCAAGTTTCTAGTTTTGCAAGACTGGAGAAACCCCCTTTTTATTGCTTGTTTTATTTAGATAATATTAGCATTTATTTTAATTGTTTACCATTCTTTGTGTTCGATACTCTACTTGCTTGAACTATATTACTAATCGATAGGTACACTGTCTTTCGTGTGTTTATTTTGTGTCTAAGTTAGTAGGATTAAAACTAGTTCGTTTCACACACATCAAGTTTTTGTGTCATCAACCTAAACAGAAGTTATGAGTTTTAGCTCATGATTACAACAGAAACAAGCTCAAAAACGAAAAGAAATTGATAAAAACATAGTTCAAACAAGAGATTAGGTAAGAGTAAACTTGATTTTGACTTGATTCTCCTTAAAATTGAATGTAGGGTTGATTCCTTAGCTTCCCACGCTCCAACAGCACCATTAGTCGACAATTGGCCTCCAAGGGTTCATCTATATCCTCGGGTATCGATCTGAAAGTCCCTTTATATAGATTTTCACAAAACAGGGGCTACTCGGTGAGTCCATTGACCTACTCGGCGAGTCTGTCACTTAAAACCTGTGTATGGCAAGTCAACGCGTCTAGAATCGCAAAAGTTCGAAGTGACGCGTCGAGTTTATGGTCTACTCGTCGAGTCCATTTGGAATCAGAATTTTATCAAAACACAAAAGTCTTCTGAAATTGTGTCTAGTTTTCAGAACATTTTGAATCTTGTCAATCGGACTTACGGTTCATGAGATATCGCCAAAACACTGACGAGGGGTCAAGCTGTCCAGCAACACCCTTCTTTCTTCAAAATCCAAGATCCAAGCTTCCAATCGCTAGTTCCGCTTCCTTTTCCATCCGAGCATGTAATTGTTGCTGAAAAATGAAATTATAAACTAATTAAGCACCTTTTGTTCATTAAATGAGATAAAATCAACATAAAATATTAAGATACTACATGAATTTTATAACTAAATATCCCATATCACATTGCATCATACCAAACGGATGCTAATAACTTTTATTATTTTAGGGGGTAATCAGCAAACTGATTCAGTACATATTTGACATCAAGAAATGCGTCAATAAAGTTTATGATTTAGGAGGAGCTGACAAAGCTAGCTAATGAAGCAGATGAAGAGGATAAAGAGGAGCCTGAAAAAACCATTACCGGAAAACAAGAATCTGTGGAAAAAGGTGTCAAGGCCTAATCTCAATTCTTTTGCTTAGGAGGCAAAACAAAACACATGTAAGTTAGGTGGTGGGCTGTGATGTTTTTGGAAACACTGGAGAGAGAGAGAGAGAGAGAGAGAGAGAGAGAGAGAGAGAGAGAGAGAGAGAGACTAGGTGATGGATGGATTGAATGGATGATAAGAGAGTATAAATTAATTATTGGGTAAATTTGTCTGATGTTTTTTCTTGGATCATAGATCGTGATAAATTGGCTTTCGCCCATTAATTCATGGTTTTCTTGATATATTCAGACTCATGTTTGTTGACACTTTGTGTGTGTGTGTGTTTTTCTGAAGATTTCTTTTCTATGCATGGATATATGCTAGTGATGATATTCATCTATTTTATTATTATGTTCATGTTCAATGACTTTTACTTGATCAATGGACACAATTTTGTTCACCAAAAAAAAAGTGATTATATATGGTAGATGATGATGGCTTTCTGTAACAATCTTATGACACAAATTGCTATACAAAGATGACCATATATATCAATCAACCCAAGATTTTGACATTCAAGAAATCCTCAGAAGATCCCAATGCTTCAACCTTAAACTCTTGAGATATCCTAGATGAATTCACATATTTTTCATTTTGGTAACTAACTTCGTAATCTCCATGAATCAACGAAGTCTCATAGAAACCATCACCATCTATCGTCCCCATAATAACTACACCAAAAAATTCATTAATAATCTTCTCCACCACATCGCCTGTAGCCAAGTTCCTGAAATCATTATCCGTTAAACACATTCTGTAGCATCCTTCTGGACTCCATGCAGACCATAAAACTATCCCATTCACTGCTGGATGTGCATGAGCTTCTCTCAAAACTTGTTCCAATAACTCCAC